TTCTATCATGTGCAATTTCTTGCATGGTCAAGCGCGTCCATGCATGCACCACAGCATACATAAACACCATCTAGCATACATGAGTGGCGGTGCATCAAACAACTGTGCCCTGACCCCTTGCATCTGGTTAGTATTCGGATGAGGGGAAAAGGAACAAAAAACAGTTCCACGTATGACAGCCATAGCATCTTCTCTGCAATGTCCAAACCATCCTTCCAATCCCCAATGCCCTCTTTGCAATCTTGATTCATGCAGCCCTCCTTCTCTTCTTCAACCCTCTATACTCGCTCCTTTCCCACCAGAATCCGTCTAAACTTCATGGGTCTCATGGGCTGGAGAGCCTGAACACGCTACAGTTATGAAAACAGTTAAAATCACTCTAATACCCCCCATTCCTCTCATCTCCCACCCTCCTCGCATCTTCCCCCCTCCTCTTTTATCCCTCACGACTCTCATAACCCCTACTCCTCTCTTCTCCTCTCTTAGCCCCCACTTACCTCATGCCCCCAGCCCCTCTCATACCCTCCCCACCCCACCCATCACTCTCCCAATTCACTCTCCTCATACCCATCACTTCTCTAATGCCTCCCTCTCTTCTCATGCTCCCCACTCCTCTCATGCCCTCATAACCCCCAATCCTCTCATATCCCCCATTCTATAAATGCCCACCACTCCCCTCACAACCCCCATTCCCCTCACACGCCCTAATCCCATCATACCCCCCACTCCTGTCATACCACCCACTCATGCCTTTTCATCCCACCCATGCCTTTTCATTCCACCCGTTTCTTTTTCATCCCACCCATTCTATTTTCATCCCACCTATGCCTTTTTCATCCCATCCATTCTATTTTCATCCCACCTATGCCTTTTTCATCCCCCCCATTCTATTTTCATCCCACCTATGCCTTTTTCATCCCACCCATGCCTTTTCATCCCATCCATGCCCTTTCCACCCACCCATGCCCTTTCAACCCACCCATGCCCTTTCATCCCACCCATGCCCTTTCAACCCACCCATGCCCTTTCCTCCCACCCATGACCTTTCATCCCACCCATGCCCTTTCATCCCAACCATGACCTTTCATCCCACCCATGCCCTTTCATCCCAACCATGCCATTTCAACCCACCTAGGCAGGCCTCTGCGTTGTCAGGCCAACTCTACTTATACTGTGCTGTGGTGTGATTGTGCCATTTTACCCATATCCATTGACAGTGGAGGCTAATGAACATGCAAGCAAGTACCATTTTGGATTATTTATATATGCTTGGCGCAAATGTTGGTGCCGTGCCGGTGGGACATGTGGGCCAAACATAGCTCCTTGGGACAGGAGGTGGAACCAGGACACACATTGAGTTCGTAGTGGAACTGACAACCAGCAGGTGCTACTTGAAAGGAAATGTGTCATGAGAAATGGTGACATGCGGTAGCATCCTTGGGCAAGAACCAAGGGAACGTGCCGGCCGCCACTCTTGAGAGACACTCTTGCGCAGCAGTAGACTGCTGCTCAGCTCAGCAGGATCCACTCGACTCGAGCACGTATCTGCGTCTGCCAAGTGGCGAGGTCTCGTCGAGTGACGGCAGCTCCTTGCTGCTGCGAAGGGCGAGGATGATGATGAAGAGCAGAGCACAGTGCCGGAGAAGCTACCTTATGCTGTGGCCAAGAAAGAGGCGGTGTGATGCGACAAGTGAACTTGGCCCTGTGGCTGCAGAATATGGGCTGTTGGAGCAACGTGGAGAGTAGGGTTGCGGCGGGTGGGGAGCTTGGGTATGTTGCTTAGTCACAAAGATGATTTCAGTAGGGCAGCTTCTGACAAGAAAAGTTGTCAAGGGATTTTGATGACAAGGAATATTGGGATGCGAGGGATGGGCGTCGCCCTATGCGCTGCCACGTATGTCTTGATGCACAGGGGAAGATGCAATCTGGAGCACCCCACCATGATGCGCTGGCACATGTGGAAGAATGAACGGGAGTGGGGCGAGTGAGGGGGGGATAAAGGGGAGGGGAAGCAACGAACATGCGCATCCAAGGGAGGGTGGAGAGAGCTGCAGTGCACAGCACACCATAGCATGCCAGAGGTGGAAAGGTGTGGGGCTTTGGATGGTGGAATGGTGGGTAGGGAAGGAGGAAGAAACAACGAGGAGAGCAATGACAGGGGGAAAGCTAGGAGGGGAGAGGCTCATGCTGTGGCGCCCTGCCATGGTGGGCGGGAGAGCTGGAAAGGTGTGGGTTGGTGGGAGGGGTGGGTTGATGCAGGGGAGGGAGGGCGGAACGAGTATGGGCAAGGCCGGGAGAAAGGAGCTGCAGGCTGCGGTGAAAGAGGTGGGGAGGGTTGGGCAGTGGGGTTGGGAGTAGGTGGAGAGAGCGAGGAACATGAAAGTGCATTAGTATGGGCGGGTCTCCTGGCTCCTTGGTTCAATTGTTGAGGCCCTTCAAAAGGGAGGAACATGAAGATGCACGAATATGAGTCTCCTTTCTCCTACCTAGCTCCTGCTTCGTAGCTTGTGCCTCATGCAACCACGGGAGGTGGGCACATGCAGGGGCAGGGCAGGCAGTGACCTGCCAAAGCTATTTAACACCAACCATTGTAGTGAGGGCCGAAGCCAATGCACAGGGGGACTGCTATCAGGCGGTTGATGGCTGGGCTTTGTTGGGCGTCCAATGGTATGGTCCAGTTCGCGGCAAAAGCAAGAAATCGGTTATGTGCCAGCCGGGAATCGAACCCGGGTCTGCACCGTGCTGGTGGCAGGGTGCTATTCTACCACTAGACCACTGGCACTAGTCGGATGTGAGGCTGATTTGCGGCGACGACTCAATCGGGTGATGTAGTGGACGAGATGGGGTTACAGAGTATTTGAGTACTGTGCTGGGATCATGGGGTATTAGTGTGATGTGATGGGATGATGCAATCAAGGGGCTGTCTCCTCCACATTAAATGGTTGAGACAAGAGACAATGGGGTACAAAGGGCAGTGGTGGCGCCACAGGAGGCAAATGAGAGCACCGACCTGATTCGGTAGAGATGAGTGATCGCTGATGGGTGTGCGAGTGTAGAGGCGGCAGGGAACGGATGCTACTGGCTGGACTATGCACAACTGTAGCATCCATTCCCTGCCGGAGGGAGAGAGAGAGGGAGACAGCAGGGCGGGTTGGAGCTGCTGCTGGCTGCACTATGCACACCTGCGGAAGTGGGGGACGGTAATGGGGTTGGGGATGGGGAGGGGGGCGTTGGTGGAGAAGAAGGGGATGGGGGAGCGGATGGAGAAGTGGATGGGAGTGGAGAAAGGGACGGGGATGGGAAAGTGTAAGGGGAAGGGGATGGGGGGACAATACTGATCCGAGAGTGACCTGAGAGTGACCTGCCACAGACCCAGTAGTGACCCACTGGTGAGCCACCATTAGCCCCTTGCACCACCGACGCACCTTCTTCACCCAGCCAGCAATGAACAGTACCAGTGAACATCAGCAGTAAGGTGTGTCAAAGAGAGAATAACTTGGCACAGAGTGCACTCAGCAGCCTACAAGGCCACTGGTTGCCCGTGAACAGTGTGCTCGTGCCACTATGGCGGGAATCCGTGGCGTGGGAGTAGGTGCGGAGCTGGAAAGCGTGAGAGGGGCGGGGAAAGGAGGGAAAAGGAGCAGCGTGATCATAATCCTCAATAGAAAATGAAATGAAGCCAGCTAGAAGGGAGTGAGCAGGGGAGCGGTTGAGGGAGTTGAGGGGAGAAGAGGAAGGTGAGGGTATTGGAGAAGGAAAGAACAGTTTAGAGGATAGAGATTTACACAGGATAGCAGAGATTGACTTTCCTTGCTCTCTCACTCTCATTAGTTGACCTTTACACGTTTGAATCAATATAAGGACCGTTTGAGAGAGAGGGGAAGGATGGAAGGGAGCGGTGCCATGGTGGGAAGGATAGCATGAGGGTCTGGGCAGGTGGACGACAAGTGAGGGTGCAGGAGACACAGGCGCACAGCTGGGGGTGCAATCAGTACGCTTCCGGCAGCGGCGCTACTGGCAGTGGTGCAGCGGCGGGTGCGAGGCATCATACCAGCGAGGCAAGGCAAGGCAAGGTGAGGCGAGGTCATTGTCCGGCTTGGCACCTGTGGTGATGCCTGCGCACCCCGCAGGCCCAGCCATTCCTATCGGCCCATGTAGATTCGACGGGGACGAGCCGCAAGTCGGGGCACGAAAGAGCCTGGAGTCGCAGTAGACAATTGGGATCAGGGGAGGGGTGCGGGAGGGGTTGGGAGGCGGAATGAGAAGCAGAAACGGGAAGGGGAAGGGAGGGGATAACAGAAGCGGGAATGGGTAAGGGGGAAAGGAAGAGGTTAAGGGGAGGGGGATGGGTAAGGGGATGGGGAGGAAGGAGGGAGGGAGGGGGTACAGGTAAAGGGAGGGGGGTTAGGGGGGTGTGGATAAGGGAGGGGGAAGGGGCAAGCGAAAGGGGAGTGCGTGAGGGTAACGAGAGGGAATAGGTTTGAGATGGTCCTGAGATGGTGCTGGGGCAAGCAGTGTGGCTGAGCTAGTGGGTGCGAGAGCGCATGGGAACAGCACAGGAGCAGAGCAGAGTTGGATTGGGTCAAAGATGAGGTGAGGGGTGGGAGATGGGAGCTGGGCTGGGCATGGGTGGGTGGGAAGGGAGAGTTGCAGAGTGTTGTGGCAAATCCTCTAAAACTCCCCTCGGAGCTCCAAGGCATCCTCTCTAGCCTCTGCCAGCTCCATCAGCAGCCCTGCCTTCGGCAGCCCCTCCCAGTGCTTTGAGTGACTCTAACATACATCATCCCCCCCTCACAGCGACTTCACAGCCTCTCACACGCAGCCTCTCACATGCATCAACTTCACCCCCCATCTCCCCACTTCCTTCTCCCGCCTTTTCTTCACCCCCCCTCCTTCTACCCACTTTTCTTCACCACCCCTTCCTCCCCCCCTTTCTCCCAAGTGAATCTCACACGGATCTCCATCCCTCACGGCGTCTCACCTTTGCGACTTCGAGCTTCTCAACTGCCCGCCAGCGCCAGCCCTATCAGCAGCCTCCCTTCACCGCCCATTCGCCCCGCTGCCCACCCTCCTCCCCGTGCTCCCTGCCGCTGCCACTGCTGCCGCCAAAGCCGCTTGCACCGCCAGCGCCTCCCGCCCACCTCCGCCACGTCAGAAGCCTCTGCCTGCCTGGCTGAACAGGGGCGGAAACCTCGGGCCAGGAACCAGTGCAGGAGGCGCAGGTGCGGTGCGGAGCTGGTGGAAAGACAGGGGAAGGGTTGGAGGAGGTGGGAAGGGGAGAGGAAGGGACAGCGCATGGGTGAGAGCCATGCGGCTACACCATAAGGCTGCAAATCCGCGGGCCGCAACAGGTGCAGCGCTGGGGGGGTGGCTGCAGAAGGTGGGGGGGGGGGGGAGGAAGAGGGTATGTATGGGGGGAGGGAGAGGGTATGTATGGGGGGAGGGAGAGGGTATGTATGGGGGGAGGGAGAGGGTATGTATGGGGGGAGGGAGAGGGTATGTATGGGAGGAGGGAGAGGGTATGTATGGTGGGAGGGAGAGGGTATGTATGGTGGGAGGGAGAGGGTATGTTTGTGTGGTTGACACCATGACACTCAAATTGAGCCTCACGAGGAGCGGGAGGCTTGAGCATCAGGCTACGGATTCAAGGTGACTGCGAGGCGCCAATGTGGGAAGAGCCGCCATGCATGACTTCACAAGCAACGCACTGACAACATCTACTCTAGCTTTGGCTGTGATAATGCACAGACTTGGGAAGAGCCGCCATGCATGACTTGGTAATGGGCGCCGAGCTGGTCAGTCGGATGCCTATGCACTCCGACCAGCTATGCGCACATAGACTGAGACTCTGAGATCATTGACATGTCTACATGGCTAAGGTTTAGGGTTATATTGAAGAATGCGAACAAGAAAACGACCTCATTCTCTCGTAAGCATGTCCAGACCAAGAAGCTACACCCTCTCTGCTGTGCAAGTGTGCACGGATGAGGCACAGTTACACACGCCCCAGCCTTGCAGGTTCATTCACAGCCTTGACGAACAATAGGCGTGTGATCGCTCAAGTGGCATGTGTTCTGGCTCCCATGTTCCCACGTGTGCTTTCGGTCTGTGAAATTTCTCGCCGTGGGGGGGTGCGAGCAGAGAAGCGGAAATTGAGGACCAGACGAGGGGAAAACAAAAGAGGGGGGAAAGGGGGAAAAGGAGTGCGCAGTCCGAGAGCAAGAACCCCGTGCCGGAAGGTGGCTCCGCGCGCGTCCATCTCTTCGCCGCCGGCCGATTTCAACGCCAATGAGGCGCGCGGAGTGGTGCAGGCTCTCAGGCTCGGGGACGCGGAGGCGAAGGGGGGGGTGGGGGGGGCTCGTGGGGCAGAGGCAGGATGAGAGAGAGGAGGTAGAGACTCAATCATGCCCCAGAAAGGCCATCTGCCGTGACTGTGGTAGACAGAACCCATCTTAGCACCAGCAAAAAAATGGCTCGCTGTCGTGTCGTGAGCGCATACAGGGAATAGTGAAACACGAAAGCTGCAGCGTACCATGAGCATGAGCGTCAACGCGCCCTCGCAACCCTAATTCACCGTCCCCGAGAGTATCAACGCATGGATCCATGGCATCTCCGACGCCTCCGATGAATTCAAAATGATCGCGTGACCGGCAGCAGCGTGACTCATGGCACCGCGGAGGACAAGACGCCGAAAAGAGGGACTGAGCCGTGTGAGAACAATCCGAGATTCGCGGGGAGCGACTCTGCTGCCTACGAAAAGCTGTGCGCGGCAGTAACTCGACGTCGATTCAAGCGGCTCGAGGGTATCACCCCGGTCGTGCCGCTAGTGGCAGAGTGTAGCTGATGCGCTGTAGCCGTCCTAGATGCTAATATCTGTCTCAAGTGTAACATCAACGTTGTTGTATTGCTCTCGCTTGCGGTTTACGCGTAGCAATTTTCATCGCGAACGAAGCTGGCGGAGCAACAAGTTTCTGCCGAGCTGACGCTGGAGAAGTGGAGCAGATGCTTCGCCAGTTCGATCCAGATCGTAATTCCTGGATCGTTTCAACAAAAATCTAACTCGAAAACAAACCTCTTATTTTCATTTATAGGCGCGACCGGCCGTGTTTCCCTGTACGAACGATATCGACTCCCCTGAAAAATGTCACAGAAACCAAACTTCGTCACCAGACACGAATCCACTGCAGATGAACTGGTTACCTGAAATTGAATTACAGCGATACCTTGGCGGAGGGAATGGAAACCCGCTTGGTCTAGCTTCGAGGAACCCAAGGGCCGTCGTTTGTTTTCGTTCTGTCTTAAACACGCCCTAAACCAGCCCAGCAACACCTCTATGCCTCCACTCCCACCAGCTGCTGACGGTGAACAACGCAAACCCTAATTTCGAGGGAACCAGTACATAGCAATCCACAGCAGAACTGTCGCTAGGCACTCACTCGACGGACTCCTTCCATGCGACGCGCAGCCGATCGTTTTGGTTTCAACACCCCGCTCATGTTCGATTGATGCTGTCTAGGTACGCCGAGCATGGTAAGCGATTGCTTACAAACCACTAATATCTTGCAGTCTCTTTTTCTCCTCTTGACCCTCTTTTAAGGGCACGTTCTCGAGTGCATGGTACCTTAGCACCGTCTTCCAGCGTCCCTAGTATCTCAAGTTCCCGACATGGAGTCTTCAAGTATCGGTAGTCTAACTGACGATTGTCAAACTCATATCATATAGCTTGTCTAGGCAATAGTGGGGTAGACACTATGGGGTACAGTTTCATAGGGTTTCCTACTTGTACCCAACCTTGTGTTAGTTCATTCATTCCTCGTTTCTCCACATGGTATCAGAGTAGGTTCCCTCGTGGGAACGCTTCCTTGGGCCCACCACTAATTTTTTTTTTCTGACCGGAGCGTCAGTCGCTCCTGCCCGAGGCGCGCCTTGTTCACCACCCTCCCAGGCCCCTAGTGGCCCCTAGCGGCCTCGTCGCCGCCCCTACGCGGCCCCGTCGCCGCCCCTACGCGGCCCCGTCGCCGCCCATACGCGGCCCCGTCGCCGCCCCTACGCGGCCCTGTCGCCGCCCCTACGCGGCCCTATCGCCGCCCCTAGCGGCCCCGTCGCCGCCCCTAGCGGCCCCGTCGCCGCTCCCCTTCCTACGCGGCCCCGTCGCCGCCACTACGCGGCCCCGTCGCCGCCTCTACGCGGCCCTGTCGCCACCCCTAGCGGCCCTGTCGCCGCTCCCCTACCTACGCGGCCCCTTCGCCGTCCCTAGCGGCCTCGTCGCCGCCCCTATGCGGCCCCGTCGCCGCCCCTAGCGGCCCAGTCGCCGCTCCCCTTCCTACGCGGCCCCGTCGCCGCCACTACACGGCCCCGTCGCCGCCTCTACGCGACCCCGTAGCCGCCTCTGGCGGCCCCGTCGCCGCTCCCCTCCCTACGCGGCCCCGTCGCCGCCCCTAGCGGCCCCATCGCCGCCTCTGCCGGCCCCGTCGCCGCCTCTACCGAGCAGCCCAGCAGCTGAGCCGCCCAACAGCAAAGCCGCCGAGCCGCCCAGCAGCCGAGCCGCCGAGCAGCCGAGCCGCCCAGCAACCGAGCCGCCGAGCCGCCCGACAGCCGAGCCGCCCAACAGCCGAGCCGCTGAGCCGCCCAGCAGCCAAACCGCCGAGCCGCTCGACAGCCGAGCCGCCCGACAGCCGAGCTGCCCGACAGCCGAGCCGCCCAGCAGCCGAGCCGCTGATCCGCCGAGCCGCCCTGCCGTCGAGCCGCTACTGTTCCTACCGGCGCGCCCCGGCCCTACTTACTCGGACTGGTGAGCTCACTCCTTCGTAGGCCACTGCAGTCATGGCTACCCCCAGTGTTCTTACCTTTGATACTGAGGGTCGTGCTGTTGACTTTGAGGTCTAGGTCGATGACCTCCAGCTGTTCCTACAGTGCGATAGGGCAGACGGACTCTCCCTGTTCGATCTCACCTCTGGTGCCTCCCCTGCCCCGCCTGCTACTACTGACAGCACTGTTCGCTCACAGTGGGCCACACGCGATGCTGTTGCCCGTCTTGCTGTGCGTCGCCACTTACCGACCACTGAGCGTGCGCACTTTAGCCTGTACAAGAGTGCTCAGACCTTGTACGACGCTGTAGTTGCTCGCTACTCTTCCCCTGCCACTGCTGCACTGAGCCGCCTCTTGCTACCGTACCTCTTCCCTGACCTTGCTGCCTTTCCCACAGTCGTTGACCTCATTACGCACCTCCGCACTAGTGATACTCGCTACCGCGCTGCGCTTCCTGCTGAGTTCTGTGCCAAGAACCCCCCCGCCCATGTACATCACCCTCTACTACATAGTCACCCGGCTCCCTGACTCCCTTCGCTTGGTCAGGGACCACTTCCTCTCAGTTTGCCCCACCACTCTCACCGTTGACCTCCTCGAGGAGCGCCTCCTAGCAGCAGAGAAGAGCATAGTCGCTGTAGGAGCCTCTCGTGGTGACCCTCGCACCCCCGTCTTTGAGGGGTGTTCCCCTTCCCCCCTCTTGCCTTCTGTTGCTTCTGATGCTGCGGCCAACCTCGTTGGTTTCGAGTCGGTCGGCCCTGCGTCTGCCCCTAGCAGGAGACGCCGCACCGGCAAGGGCAAGGGGGGCAAGGGCGCTGAAGGGGCTGGCGGGGGCGGTGGAGGTGGTGGTGGAGGCAGTGGAGGGGGTGGGGGTGGTGGTGGGAGTGGTGGCGGTGTTGGTGGCAGCAGTGGAGGCGGAGGAGGTGGCGGCGGTGGCGGAGGGAGCGGAGGCGGCGGAGGTGGCGGAGGCGGCGGAGGTGGCGGAGGCGGCGGCGGTGGCGGTGGAGCTGGTCACGGCTCTGCGCAGAGGAGTGAGTCCGGTGGTGGTCCACGCCAGCAGCAGCAGCGCAGTCGTGAGACCCTGTCCCCTCAGCAGCTTCGTGAGTGGTACGCTGCGCGTCAGCGCGGTGGGGGTACTGGTCCCTGCACCTACGTCCTCCGTACCGGCGACCGCGCTGGTGAGCACTGCAGGGGCCCGCACTCCACCCAGCGCTGCTTCGGCCGACTGACGGACGTGTGGCGCCACCAGTTCCCTGAGGTCTCTGAGATCCCTCGCTTGGGAGAGCTGTCAAAAGCGGGGGTTGCTATATTTGATCTTGATTATGTATGCTGTGTTTGTTAGTGTTGAGGGTGATTGTTACCTGTGTGTTCCGCCTGACCCGGGCATTGAGGCTGCTGCTCTAGGTGCTGGCAAGATTGCTGCTCTAGGTGCTAGTGCGTCTGCTGCCCCAGGTGCTGGTGAGTCTGCACTCTCAGGTACTACGCCGGCTCAGGCCTTACACACCTTCACCCTTGACTCGGGTGCTTCTCGCTCCTTCTTTCGAGACCGCACCACGCTTACGCCGCTTAGTCGGCCGGTTGCACTCTCCCTGGCGGACCCCTCTGGGGGTCCTGTCCTTGCTAGCTTCTCCACTGTCTTACCGTGCCCGGCAGCCCCCTCTGGCACCCTGTCAGGTCTCTACCTCCCCTCGTTCTCTACGAACTTGGTGAGTGGAGCTGATCTACAGGATAGGGGGGTTGACCAGTTCACTCCTGCGAGTCAGCGGGTGACCCACTGCACATGTGCTCGGACAGGCCGACACTTGGCCACGTTCACCCGCCGGCATGGGTCGAGCTTGTACACACTTACTACTGAGTCTCCTCCGTCTGCTGAGTCTGGCCAGGTAGCTACATCGAGCCAGGTGTTTGCTGCGGCGTCCAAGTCCGGTCCTCAGTCTACTCCCTCCTCGTGTTGTCTCCTGTCCCACCAGACTCTTCTCTGGCACCACCGCCTTGGTCACCCCTCCCTGCCTCGTCTCCGAGGCATGGCCTCCCGTGTCCTTGTCTCTGGTCTCCCCCGGTCTCTCCCTCCCCTACCTCTGGGGCCTGCCCCTACCTGCATCCCCTGCGTCGAGGGGCGACAGCGCGCTGCCCCTCACTCCTCCGAGTTTCCTCCGACAGAGGCTTCGCTACAGACTCTTCACATGGACATGTGAGGCCCCGCCCGCGTCCGTGGCCAGGGGCACGAGCGTTACTTCTTGTTGGTGGTTGACGACTACTCGCGTTACACGGCAGTCTTCCCTTTGCGCAGCAAGGGTGACGACACTGAGGTGTTGATCGGCTGGATCCGCGCAGCTCGTCTCCAGCTCAGAGAGAGTTTTGGCTCGGACTTTCCTGTTCTGCGTCTGCACTCTGACAGAGGCGGGGAGTTTTCCTCTGCCCGTCTGGGAGCCTTCTATCGTGCACAGGGCATCCGCCAGACCTTCACGCTTCCAGCCTCTCCACAGCAAAATGGGATTGCTGAGCGCCGCATTGGCATGGTCATGGACGTCGCTCCTACGTCCATGATCCATGCGGCTGCCCCCCATTTTCTGTGGCCGGTTGCGGTTCAGTACGCAGCGCATCAACTCAACCTTCAGCCCCGGGTCTCCTTGCCAGAGACCTCCCCCACCTTGCGTTGGACGGGGAAGGTTGGCGATGCGTCTGCGTTTTGGGTCTGGGGATCTCGGGCGTTTGTCCGCGACTTGTCTGTGGACAAACTGTCCCCCCGTGCTGTTCCCTACGTCTTCGTTGGCTTTCCCCCTGACGCACCTAGGTGGTAGTTTTACCACCCCACCTCGCGCCGTGTTCTGTCCTCCCAGGACGTCACCATTGACGAGTCGGTGCCTTACTACCGTCTCTTCCCCTACCGCACTACGCCCCTCCCTCCGCTGCCGCTCTTCCTTGCGCCAGGTCCTCCCCCGGTAGATCCCCTCCCCCCTCAGGGTCCTGCCCCGTCAGGTGTGTCCCAGGTAGACGAAGTCGAGCCTGTCGAGGTAGCTGTTGACTCTGGTGCTGCTAGAGGTGCTGAGCCTGCGGGTGCCGGGTCTGGAGGTGCTGGGCCTGGGGGTGCGGAGCCTGGGGGTGCTGAGTCCAGGGGTACTGAGCCTGGGGGTGCTGAGTTTGGGGGTGCTGATCTTGGGGATGCTGAGTCTGGGGGTGCTGAGCCTGGGGGTGCTGAGTCTGGGGGTGCTGAGCCTGGGGGTGCGGAGCCTGGGGGTGCAGGGTCTGCTGATGTGGCCGCTTGCGGTGCTTTGTCAAGGCAGGAGCCATGATCTCTACAGGAGCTGCCCTAGTGGTTTGCCCGGCGCTGGAGCCGTGCTGCTAGAGCTGGAGGTACTCGTACTAGCGGTGCTGGAGCTGCTGGGTCTGGTGGTGTTGCTGGGGCTGCTGGAGCTGGTCCTGCTGGAGGTACTGCTAGAGCTGCTAGCGGTACTGGAGCTACCGGTCCTGCTGGAGCTGGAGCTGCTGGGGGTGTTGGCGCTGGTGCTTCTGAGGGTGCTGGAGTTGGCGCTGTTGGAGCTGGAGGTACTACTGGTGCTGGTGCTGCCGCTGGGGGTACTGGTGCTGTCCCTAATGGTTGTGGACGCACTGCGCGGCCGCGGCCGTACTTCGTTCTGCTCCTTGAGCAGGTTCTTGGTCTCCCGCCTTCTACTTGTCCTGCTCCTCCCTTAGAGTGTCCGCAGCCTGTCTAGTCGCAGTCACAACTACAGCCCGCCTCCCCCCTACTTGCTCCTTCTCCCTACACTGGTCCTATTGGAGGTCTTGCTGAGCGTCGTGAGCCTGCGTCTCGTCCTGCGTCGCCTGTTCGTGCTGCTCGCACTAGTAGTCGTGTTCCGCGTCCGCGTCCTCCTGCGGTCCCAGGCACACACCAGATGGCACTGCGTCCTTCCACTGCTCCTCTGCGTGTCCCGTTGCCGTCTCCTCCAGAGTCCTCTCTTCCTGTTCTTGCTGACCCGAAGTCTGAATCTCTTCGTGCTGCCAGTCCTACTGTCACGCGTCTGCTGGCTACTGTTGTCACTAACCCTTCCTTTGAGTCCACTGCTGCGTCTGCCTTAATAGCTGAGCTTGTCGACTTTGCTGCTCGCTGTCGTCTCGACTACGCCGCTAGTCTTGTTGCTGAGTCTGAGTCTGTCTGTCCTCCGTCCGTTGGGGGTGAATGTGCTCTTAGCACGGACGTCCTCGAGGACAGGCAGGAGGAGTTCCAGTGTTTTTCTGCTGCTTTGCCTCATCTCATGTCCACGCTGATTGCCCCTGAGGGAGACCTGGATGCACAAGATATCCCGACTCCTCGATCGTACGCTGAGGCGATCGAGGGTCCCTACTCCTCTCAGTGGTTGTCAGCCATGGACGCAGAGATGGCTTCCTGGAAGTCCACAGGCACCTACTTCGACGAGGTTCCCCCGCCTGGGGCGAACATCGTCAGTGGCATGTGGATTTTCAGGGTGAAGCGGCCGCCGGGTTCTCCGCCTGTCTTCAAGGCGCGTTGTGAGAGGACGTCCCCGTTATAATATTTTCTCACTATTATATTTTTCCGTTATCCTATTCTCCCTTTTCTCCTCTTTATTTTGGTCTTTATCTCATCTCAATCGGCCTACTATTCTATTCTCTAGAGCCTTCTATTTATTTCTCTTATTTCCTACTTTTCCCACCGACATACCTATTATACGGCACCGACAGCGCCGACAGTGGTGTATACGGTGTAATCTGGGCGTAATCCCAAGTGCCAATAGACTTGCGTGCTTATGCGCACTTGTGATTGTAGTATCGGGACGGGTGTGTTCCCGAAGGTTCGTTTTATCTCGTTTATCCTTGTACTTTCTGAGTATAAATAGGCCTTGTATTCAGTTTTAGTGACAAGTTTCGATTGAGAATTCGATCCTGTGACACTTGGTAATCAGAGCCGTTCTCACTCGACAACTCCCGGCTAAGCAGCGGTCGCGGAAAAAATCGCCTCGAAAAACCGCCGGGGGCGACCAATTCGACGCCGATTTCTGGTAAGTACCAGTTCCGCGTTTTTCGAATTAACCCCCTCGCGTGGTTTTTGAACAGGATGGATTCGTCGGCGACCAACGACGTTACGCAGCAGCTCTTCGCGCAAATCGCCAAGATGGAAGCGGAGATGCGAGCGACGACTGAACGGTCGCGATTGGAGAACGAGCAGCTGCGAAACGAACTGCAGCGCGTTACGCGGCTCCTCTCGACCATGAACATTCCTGCTTCGACGACTTCGCAGCACTCGCAGCGTCAGTTCGAGGTTCCGAAACTTCGCTCGCCGGAATCGTTCGACCCTAGCGATCGAAAATCCGACGTCAGGCGGTGGCTCGCGACGATGGAAATTTATTTCGCGGCGATCGGATGGACGACGACGGAGTACGACGACGAGAAAATTCGTCTCGCGACAACGTTGATGCGCGGTCCAGCTCTCGAGTGGCTCGGAAGCAAAAGTAGCATTTTCCAGGGCGAAGCCACGTGGCAGCAGTTCGGGGCAGACCTTCTCAAACGTTTTGAGCCGATTAATTCCACTTATATTGCGCGCGAAAAATTACATCACCATAGGCAATACGGGAGTGTCGCGCAATACACGCAGCAGATGGAGGAATTTTATAATCGCATTCCCGACATTACCGAGGGCGAAAAAATTCAGTCCTACATCGCGGGGCTGAAAACTGACATTCGGCGCCAGGTTGCAGCAGCGAATTGCAGCAGCTACAGCGAAATCGTTTCGGCCGCGGAGCGTTTTGACTTGGTCAACTCCGGGACACGACGACCCCACGTCGTCGGATCACGACAAGGGGATCGCTCGGCTTCAACCACGTTCGCCGACCCCATGGAAGTCGACAAATTCAACGCGAGTTCACGTCCTGCAAAAAAGAAAACACTGTGCGAATTTTGCGGCGGAAACAGACATCGCATTGTCGACTGTTTTCACATGAAATCTGCACGTGCGGCATTCCGAGCTCGTGGGAGTGGCGAAACTAAAGACAAAAAGTCAAAAAACGGATCTCGCCAGTGATTGCGGATCCGGCTGGCGAGAAAAAACAGATCCGAAAGCGTCAGCGCAATCTGGACCGAATCGAAATTGAAGGACAGCATTGGGCGCGAGATTTGGAGAATCAAGGGCGAAATCCCAAGCCCCTTGACCGAAATTTGTCAGAGGAATTCGCCGAGGAAAAGAAAACCTCCGCGAAAACAGACTCGACCAAGACGGGAACTCTCCAATTCGACCCCGGAAAAAAACAGAATTCGTTAAAGTTATCTTTCAAAGATGCTTTAATGAAGACTGGCCATTTTCGCGGGGCCGGAGCCATAAACAAATTCCGGGAAGAACTTGTCAGAACATATATGTAGCTTATGCTGTTGTGTAGGCTACAGTGGGGTATCCCATAGGGGGTACAACCCAATTAGGGTTTTGCTATTTGTACTCACTTCACTCATAGTTCATTCATTCTCGTTCTATTTTTCACATGGTATCGAGCAGGTTCCCCCGTGGAAACTGTGCTTAGGGCCCACCACTTTTAAACTTTTCTTTCTGCCCGGAGCGCGCTCCGGGCCCTTGCTCTCACTCTTTCGGCCTGCCCTGCGGCCCCCTAGCCGCCCGCGCGCGTCCGTTCAGGCCCCTAGCCGCCCGCGCGCCGCCCGTCCCGGCCCTTAGCCGCCCGCGCGCCGCCCGTCCCGGCCCCTAGCCGCTCGCGCGCCGCCCGTTCAGGCCCCTAGCCGCCCGCGCGCCGCCCGTCCCGGCCCCTAGCCGCTCGCGCGCCGCCCGTTCAGGCCCCTAGCCGCCCGCGCGCCGCCCGTCCCGGCCCCTAGCCACCCGCGCGCGCCCGTCCCGGCCCCTAGCCACCCGCGCGCGCCCGTCCCGGCACCTAGCCGCCTGCGCGCGCCCGTCCCGGCCCCTCACCGCCCGCGCGCCGCCCGACCCGGCCCCAAGCCGCCCTGTGCCGCCCGCCCCGGCCGCGCTCTCCTGTCTCGGCCCCTCGGCGCCAGGACGCCGCCCGTCCTGGCCCCTCACCCGTCCCGGCCTCACACCGCCCGTGCGCCGCCCGTCCCTGCTGCACGCCGCCGTCCTGGCCCCCCACGCCGCCCGTTAGCCGCCGTGCAGCCTGAGCCGCCCGAGCCGTCTGCGCAGCTGAGGAGCCGAGCCGCCTGTGCCGCTGACTGCCCGAGCTGCCCGAGCCGCCTGAGCCGCCCGAGCCGCCCGAGCCGCCTCCCCCCCCTCCCCCCCCCCCCCCCCCCCCCCCCCCCTTTTCCCGTCGCCTGTCGAGGCGACCTGAGGGGGCCGCTTGCGGGGTGGCAGGTGTGTGGTGTCCCCTGCTTCTCCTCCTCCTTCTTCTCGAGCCGCCCTGTAGCCGAGCCGCCTCACCGCCGAGCTGCTCTACACCCGAGCCTCCCAGCAGCCGAGCCGCCCTGCAGCCGAGCCGCTCTACACCCGAGCCTCCCAGCAGCCGAGTCGCCCTACAGCCGCGCCGCCGGGTCGCCGAGCTGCCGAGCTGCAGTTGCTGCCGAGCCGCCCTGCCGCCGAGCCGCCCGAGTCGCCCGAGCCGCAGAGCCGCCGTGCTGCCGAGCCGCTGAGTCGCCGAGCCTACTCTACCCACCACTGGTCAGCGCTTGCCCTGCTAGCACGCTGCGCGTCGCCTGCTTGCCTGCCTGCCTCCCTTTTGGCTTGCCTGGCTGCCTGCCTTACTGCTGCTACTCCTGCTCCTGCCTCTACTGGTGGAGCCAGATGCAGCCCCATCGACGTCTGCGTGAGTCCCTCACGCCCCAGCAGCTGCGTGCGTGGTACGCTGGTTGGGGCTGTAGGGGTGGTGGCGCTACTACTGCTACCACTCCTGCTGCTTCTACTACTGGTGGCGGCCAGATGCAGCTCCCGCGACCCCCCCGCGCGTCTCTCACGCCTCAGCAGCTTCGTGAGTGGTACGCTCAGAGTAGGGGGTCTCTCAGTTCTGTTCACTGCTCTTACGTGATTCTCACTGGTGCTCGGACTGGTCAGCCTTGTGGGACACCTGGTCATACACAGTCCCGCTGCTTCGCCCGTCTGAGCGACGCCTGGCGTACCGTGTTTGGCGACGAGGCTGAGCTCCCCGACTAGGTGGAGTTGCTTAGGCAGAGGGTCGATATATTTGCTCTTGACTATGATGCTATTCTCACTGCCATGTATGCATTGCCTACTAGTGCTGACCGTGCCGGTCACCTGTGCGTACCGCCTGACCCGGGTATAGGACCTGCTCCTCTAGCTACTGGTGAGGCTGCTGCTGCTCTGGGTGCTAGTGAGTCTCCTGCTCCAGGTACAGGTGCGGCTGCTGCTCTAGGTGCTAGTGAGTCTGCTTTCTCAGGTGCGGGTGAGGCTGCGCTCTCAGGTACCGCGTTGGCTTCGGCCTCCCTCACCTTTACACTTGACTCTGGGGCTTCTCGCTCCTTCTTTCGGGACCGCACCACACTCACGCCGCTTGGTCGGCCGGTTGCAGTCTCCCTGGCTGACCCCTCTGGGGGTCCTGTCCTCTCTCACTTTTCCACTGTCCTCCCGTGTCCGGCTGCCCCCTCGGGCACCCTGTCTGGCCTGTACCTCCCCTCGTTCTCGACGAACTTGGTGAGTGGTGCAGACCTGCAGGATGCGGGGGTTCACCAGTTCACTCCTGCGAGTCAGCGGGTGACCCACTGCACGGACGCACGCACAGGCCGGCACCTGGCCACGTTCTCGCGTCGGCCGGGGTCGAGCCTCTACACCCTAACCACTGCGTCTCCTCCTGTCCCTGCGTACGGTCAGGTAGCAGCGTCAGGTCAGGTGTTTGCTGCTGCGTCCAGGTCTGGTCCTGAGTCTGCCCCCTGTTCGTGTCGCCTCCTGTCTCACGAGACTCTCCTGTGGCACCACCGTCTTCGCCACCCCTCCTTGCCCCGTCTTCGGGGCATGGCTTCACGTGTCCTTGTCTCTGGTCTTCCCCAGTCTCTCCCTCCCCTTCCTTCGGGACCAGGACCTTCCTGTGTCCCCTGTGTCGAGGGGCGCCTCAGGGCTGCTACTCACTCCTCCCAGTTTCCCCCGACAGAGGCTCCTCTGCAGACACTTCACATGGACGTGTGGGGCCCGGCCCCCGTCCGTGGGCAGGGTCACGAGCGCTACTTCCTGTTGGTGGTTGACGACTACTCGCGTTACACCACAGTCTTCCCCTTGCGCAGCAAGGGTGCTGTCACTGAGGTGCTGATCGACTGGATCCGCGAGGCTCGTCTCCAGCTCAGGAGGAGCTTCGGCTCGGACTTTCCTGTTCTGCGTCTGCACTCTGACCGAGGTGGGGAGTTCTCCTCTCGCCTTCTGCGAGACTACTGTCGTGCACAGGGGATCCGCCAGACCTTTACGCTTCCGGACTCTCAACAGCAAAATGGGATTGCTGAGCGCCGCATTGGCATGGTCATGGATGTCGCTCGTACGTCCATGATGCATGCGGCTGCCCCCCATTTTCTGTGGCCGTTTGCGGTTCGGTACGCGGCGCATCAGCTCAACCTTCACCCCAGGGTCTCT